ATGTAAATACAATAAAAAATATAATAGAAATTGTTGATTTATGTATATATATATATATATATATATAGTGAAGATGGAGAAGAAAAACAAAAACAAAAACTCAGTATGGAAGGAGAAATCACTGTAGTCCCAGACACTATGGCCTGGATTCACAGACAGGGCTTAGACTAAGCCAGGATTGGGCCATAGTTCAATTAGGACATTTAAGTCATTTTTTATAAATAAGCATTACTGATGTGCATCTTGAGACAAAACAAAGGCACTGATATATTTTAAGATCAGTCAGTGCAAGTTTCTTTCAGTTGAAACAGCTTAGACTTACATTTTAGTCTGGGACTAGGCTTAAGCCTTGTCTGTGAAACCCGGGGTTAGTGTTCTGGTCATATCTGTTGAGCGCGTGAACACTATGGCCAATAAGCGGTGTTTATGAATCCGCTCAGATGTTAGCGGGAAATGGATGTTTTTAAAGTTGCAGTACCGACTGGTACCAACGTTGGTACTTTTGACAACACTAGAATACACTATTAAGGGTTTTGTTAAGATTTAGTGGCCAGTTTATTTAAATTTTATGACCAAAAAAAATAAAATTGTAAAAACACAAATAAAAGGTCTTTTTTATTTAATGGCCATAAAATGTAAATAAAATCCGTTATCTGTAGTCTCTCTGCTTTGTTTATTACAGATTTATGTATTTTATTTATTTCCATTTAATGGCCACACAATTTTTTAAAAGAGTATCTTTTATGTGTGTTATGTGTTTTAATGGATTACATATTTATTTTTTTATTTACATTTTATCAAATTATTATTTTTTTTAAGTTTCTCTTTTATTTAACATTTTTATTTGTTTTTAACAGATTACAGATTTGAAAAAAAGTGTCTTTTATTTGTGTTTTTATCAAATGTTTTAAATAGATTTTGTTAATATCTTGAATTAAATTAAATTTTTATATTTTTTCACGTAATTCTTTTTTTTTTTTGTAATTTTGTTGTGTTGTCATTTTTATAACTTTTTGTTTTTCAAAATATGTCTTTGTTTTTTAAGTTTTTATTTTTAGTTTATTCAGTTTTATTTATTTTAGTTTATACTTGGATTTAAACTACACAAAAACGAGAAATGTTCTCTTGGTAACTAGCTTTTTTTTTTTTTCAATTCAAGTTTTTAAGTAATGCATTTTTATATGGTTTCGGTTTTAGTTAATCATAATCTTGGTTAGTGTTTCTATTTATTAATTTTTTATCAAGCTTTAGTTTTAATTTTCAACTACGAAAATGAAAATAAAATGAATTTTAAGATTTTTTTATATATATTTTATTTAGTTGACGTTTTATTTTATGTTTTTTTTATATTGTGATCATTTTATATGAGCATGATTTTTAGGTAAGTATCCGGTGTTGGAGGTGATCACGGTCGCTGCCATCACTGCTATTGTGGCGTTCCCGAACCCGTACACGCGGCAGAACACCAGCGAGCTGATCAAAGAGCTGTTCACGGACTGCGGGCCGCTGGAGTCGTCTCAGCTCTGCCAGTACCGCAGCCAGATGAACGGCAGTCAGGCGTATTCCGAGGGATCGGACGCCGCCGCCACCCCCGGCGTCTACTCGGCCATGTGGCAGCTCAGCCTGGCTCTCGTCTTCAAAATCATCATGACCATCTTCACCTTCGGACTCAAGGTCAGAAAACAGTGCTTGTGTTTGCACTTCTCTATTGTGATATCACTATTTTTCCAAACAGTGCCAGTGAAATTTAAAAATTCTTGATATGTGTCGGGTCCCCGCTATAATAGCAGCAACATTCACAAATGTTTACATAACAAGCGGGAACCCAGTGTGCCTGTATCTTTCTCTATTTCTGTTTTATCACGTGATAGAAAGTCTAAGGCCTTCTCAAGCCGTACTGCTGACTCATCTAATCTGCAGCCTGTTATGCATCAAACTAATATTGCTGTTGAGACAAAATGCAATGCCATCAAGTTAGCATTTTTAAACATTCGCTCACTAAAAAAATAAATAATTTCTAATCAATGACTTAATAACCACAAACAACCTGGATTTTATGTTTCTAAACGAAACATGGCTAGAAGACAGCTGCAGTGCAACGGTCCTCAATGAAACAGCCCCTCCTAACTTTACCTTCATGAGTGTTTGCAGGACTGTTAGGAGAGGTGGAGGTGTAACTGCTTTATTTAAAGATGTCTATCAATGCAAGCAAGTGTCATTTGGTCAGTACTTGTCTTTTGAATATCTAGGGATTGTGTTGAAAGCTATGTGGTTGTTTTGGCTATATTAGTTTTTGTCTCATGCTGCGCACTGCCTGTGTCTGAGTAACAAACTAAAAAAAACAACAAACAAAAAAGTGCATGTGATATTAACAGACGAACTACGCTCATATTTATAATTCCAAACAATCAGTAAGCGACAGGTGCTTGGAAACGCTGTTTTGTACTCATTTATTGACGAGATGGCTGCGGTGCGGCCAACTGAATGCGCCGCCCACTACCGGAGAACCCGGCAGTTCTTATAAGCTGAAGAATTCCAAAGGAACGGCGTTATTTTGACAGCAAAATACAACAAAGAATATCGTTTACATGTAGCGCGTCAATTCTCTCTCTCTCTCTCTCTCTGCGTGTGTGTGAAACAAAACGACGGCGAGTCATGCGCCTTCACACTGGAGTTCACGGTACGTCAAATACAGGTGCGTTGCACATCCATTCAGATGAACTGAAAAACAGCACAGATCGCTTGGCGGAGAGTGAAACTCTGATGCGCTCAGTCAGAGAGTGTTCGGCGAGTGAAAATATATCTGTGCTAAACTTATACTTAGCCTCCAACTCACACACTGGCGAGTAAAATCTGAGAATTTATTAGCCATTGGCTAATATTAGACATCATTTAGTCACCCAGAGTGAAGATTTAGTCGCATATGCGAGTGATTTACTCGCAATGTAGAGGGTTGCTTTATTTGTGTACATTCACAATAAAAACAAATCTTTGTGCTTTTGTAAATTAAGCCAAATTATCTTTGACTAAAAGGAGTAGTTTCTTCCACTGTTGGAAGGAAAAAATTCAAGTGACTGTGCCGGTGCCGCATGCGCGCACACAGTTAAGCATTGCTACCTTGACAATGCAGCCTGCTCATTATCATAATAAAATACAGTCAGTCAAACATGGAAAAAAACACACTGCTCAGTTTAAATATGTAGTAAAATCTGTGCTGTTAAGCGTTATCACCGCCGTGAATTATGTTATGCAAACCATTTTGTTTTACGTGGCTATTGGAACGCGAGTGAAGTAGACTACATAATAAATAATATTTTGGCATTCAAATACATCGCGAATACGGAAACATTTCATTTTGTGTCGAATGAGAGAAAATGAAACTGGTTTCAGTTTCGTTTTAGCCTAAATTAATTCGTTTTGGCTTGTCGTTTAGCTATAGCTTCTTATATTTTTAATTCTTGTTCTTTTCTAAATACTGGTAATTGAAAGGCTTTGTTGTGGAGTGAGGGGAACTAAAATAGCCTAGCTATGTTTACATTGTTTATTATAATGTTTGTAAACATTTCGTGTCGGCATTAGGCCTATTTCTGAATGAAATAATAAAATGCGACTTAGACGCGACTTGTTTTTTTTTTTTTCCTGTTAAAAATTATTTTTTTTATACGTGTAGCGTATTTCAACCATGCAGCAAACGTTTTTACATTTTTTGATAAATTACTAAAAAAAATAAAATAAATGACTTTTTAAACCGTTTAACTGAT